TCTGTAATGGAAATTTTTAAAAGTAACTTTCCCAACACTGCTAACCAGAAGGGACAACTACAGCAAGTATTACATATATGCATGATTTCCACCCATTAATCTAAAGAGCCAGTTCATAATTTCACAATACCAAATATGCATGATGAATCTGTATATGTCTTTATGTTACCAACAACTTGAGCCACATTTGATTACTTTACTGTAAATAATTCCAAATATTTTTTTCATGCTCACTCAGCCGCTCTAGCTTGTGCACATGCTCCGATACGTCTTTGCTGCTCTTTGTGATAGCGTTGTTTAAGAGAACCAGGCAATCCTTCCACATGTGTGGTCCATATTTATTTATTTATTTATTTATTTATTTATGGGTGTTCTGACTTACTACACTCGAATGCTGCTACTTTAATTTATTACGTGGACACTGTAATGCCTGGTTAAATGGGGGCAGTCCCAAGGCATTAATAAAACTGATCTGTTATTAATAACAGCTACCTGCTTCTTGCCATCTTATTTAGAGCCACACTCTAATATTAATCTTTAATGTAATACTGGGCTGTTTTTTGTGGTGAGTAAGAGTAGATTAGAAAACACTTTAAAAGATGATCTGATCTACCCCCCCAGACTACACTGTGGAGGAGCAGCCCTCCGAGATGCTCCTTATTCAGGAGTTGGAGAGCGGCAGACCCAAGCCTCTGGTGTTTGTTCTCAATGCTAACCTGCTCGCTATGGTGAAGTTGGTCAACTGTGAGTTTCCCCTCTTACCTTTTACTGTGCATTATGAACTGCATACAGAACTTAATGTACACATTTAAAATTAATACATCTTGTATTTGTTGTTTAAAATGCCCATATGTGACTGCCAGCTTGTGCTTGATTTCCCTGATTAGACGTTAACAGGAAGTGCTGGTGTGTGACAACAAAGGGAATGCACGCTGTAGGGCAGGTGGAGCTGGTGGTGCTGCTGCAGTGCCTACCTGAAGAAAAAAGCTTCCCCAAAGACATTTTTAGGCACTTCATTCAGCTGTACAGAGACACTTTCACAGGTCAGAGACATTACAAGCCCGTATACAGAATATTATCAGCCTCTACTTCACGACTGTAGTATTTCTTCCCTCTTATAATGACACATGTTTTGACATCTTTATGTTTCTGTAGGGAAGGTTGTGAAACACCTGTCACTCTCCCTGTTTGGCAGCAGCTTCTTTGGCAGTCAGGATCATGCAGGCTTCCTGTACGTTCGCTCCACTCTCCAGTCCCTTCAAGGTCTACCTCTGCCAAACCAGCCCTACCTCTTTGGCCTGCTGGTCCACAGAGCAGAGGTGGCCTGGGCCAAAGCCTTTCCCCTTCGCCTCATGCTGCGACTGGGCGCTGAGTACAGATGTAAGCCGGGCAACTATGTGAGCTCTCTGAGTTGTAATGTTTCTTCCCCAGTTACCCACTTTCTGTCTCTTGTTCCAGTTTACCCATGCCCTCTGTACAGTGTACGCTTTAGGAAGCCCTTGTTTGGGGATATAGGCCACACAATAATGCGACTGTTAGTGGTGAGTATGGCATTTTGTAACATTTTTTTGTGTTGCAAAACCACCCTTCCTGTCAGCAGTGGAAGTTTGGTGTCACAAATTTTATTAAACAGTGAACGGTGATCTTTTTACCATTCTGCTTTGTTCCAGGACTTTAGGAATTACCGTTACAGCCTACCAGTGGTATCGGGGCTCACTGTGGACTTAGAAGCTCATAGGACTTGCATAAAAATACCGAACACTGGGTATAATGAGGTAACACGAAGCCTCGCAGAGTTAACGCTCTTACATATCGTTTCTTTCTCTATCGTTTACCCGTGTTATCTCCCATGTTAGCTAATGAAGGCTGTGAATAAGTCCAATGAGCATGTGCTGGCGATAGGGGCATGCTTCAATGACACTGCAGACTCCCACCTCATCTGTGTCCAAGCAGACGATGGCCAGTATCAGACCCAAGCCATCAGCATCCACAATCAACCACGTAAAGGTAACAACACAGTTGTTGGGGCAGGAAGGGACACGTGGAAAGTTTTGCTCAGCTAATATGAAAATCTGAAATTACTTTATTTAAGCTGAACAAACGAGGCTAAAACAGCAGCTAAAAGTATAGTCGTACTAATACTTCTCCAGTTTTGTTAAACGATGAGGATCTAATAAATCAGCTAAAAGATATGCATAAGCTTGAAACAGCTAAGCATGATCGATAAATGATCAATGAAATCTTATCGCTTACAGTAAATCTTTAGCTGAATATACTCCAGAGAACACTGAGAAGGCATTCAAGTAAATTTGCTGCACAAACTGAATGGATTCTGCACAACAAAAACATTGTGCAAACCCACTGAATATTATTGCAGTGCATCTAAACATATGTAGCTTATGGAAGTGCATATAAAACAAAACAGTTTGAGTGTGAACTTCAGTGCAGCGGAGCAAAAGTAGGAGAAAATTCGAAAATGAAAGAAGTGGTTCGAGATGTTAATCGTGGCCAGTTACAGTTATGTGACACTAGGTGGCAGTGCATGCACTTGTAGTTTTTGCCTTGTCACTGTAAAGACTGATCAAAATGACATTCCTTCCTTCCTTCCTTCCTTCCTAGTTACTGGATCATGCTTTATTATATTCAGTAGTGCGCTGAAAGCGTCAGCAGGATACCTGGCCAAATCCAGCGTTGTAGAAGGTAGGATACCCTCTGACCAGAGAAGCCAGGTTAACCATTACCTTCTCCTCACCTCTGAGGATAGCCATCATTTACATTTTAAGTAGAGCGCCCCTGCTTAAACTGGCTTATTCAGAATTTGTTGATCTTTGTATGTGTGTGTCTGTGTACATTTTAACAGACTGTTTGTCTAGGCGTGTGTCTCCCCATTGGTGTGTGTTTGTGTGTGTTTCTCCTGTATCGCTGTCCCCTCTTCGCAGATGGGCTAATGGTGCAGATCACCGTGGAAACCATGGCGGAGCTCCGTCGATCACTACGGGAGATGAAAGACCACACTGTCACCTGTGGACGGCTGGACCAATCAGAGAGCCAGGAGCTTGTTTGTGTACAGTGGGTGGAGGAGAAATGCACTGTGAATAAGGGGTGAGTGTGTCCAACTGTTTGAAGTGCAGGAAGGCTTTTGTGTTCAGTCCGGTAGAACAATATAAGACCCATTCAAAAGGTAGCTGTGAAAAACTAACGGTGGTTGATTAGAATTTGGAACATCCTAACAAAGAGCTGCAAAAAAGCGTGTAAGAGACGTCCAGTGTAAACAGGAGGGCTGGAGTTTAAATCTGTACACATCCCTTTCAGTCTGTTTTAAACTGTGTGTACATGTAACCACCTATCAATGTTTGTGTTCTCCAGCATCATCAGCCCCATCGATGGGAAATCAATGGAGTCTATCAGCAGTACCAAGATGTTCCAGAAGTCCGAATACAAAGAAAATGGAAAGATCATCCGCTGGACAGAAGTATATATAATGATCTGCTAAAAAAGTTAGCATGTCCGTGTGTACAGCCACCCGTCTTTACATTTGCGTGAATATTTTGTGCAGGTGTTTTTCCTGCAGACAGGTGATAATCCCAAAGGAGCGGTGACTGACTCTGCTGAACACAACCGGCTCACGGAGAGAATCGCCCGGGCGTTTTGCTTGGCACTGTGTCCACACCTGAAACTGCTGAAAGAGGACGGGATGGCCAAACTGGGACTGCGTGTCACTTTTGACTCCCAAGAGGTCTTTAAAGAATTTAGCTTCTTGTAGCCAGGGAGAGAGACGTATAACTAACTAACTAATGTGTGATCTATTTCTGCCAATTTGTCTGGTTAAACTGGTCTTGTAAGCATCAGACCTGAGCCATGTAAGGTCACATCAACAATATGACCTTATTCTTTATGGTAAAAACGTAGCACTGCACTAGTAATTTAAATGGAGAGCAGAGGTCATTCTTAACTGTTTAAAATTTGTTCAGTGGTCGAGACAAATTAAAAAACAATTTTTTAAGTGATGGAAAAATAATGAAAAAAAGACACTAATGCAAAAATGTTTTTAGCTGATTGAATGTGTATTGGAGCAGGCCAGTGATTTATAGTAGCAAAACCTTCCATTCATAAGAAGATGAACAGCAATGACTGTGAACCAGATCGCATACAGTATGTGGTGATTAAGACGGATTTACCCAGGCTTCCATATCGTAGGCTGGACGTGTAGACTGTGGTCTATAGACAGATTATCTGAGATAATGTGTTACTTAATGTGCTACACCCACTTCTGCAAGTAACACAAGCTTTGTTGTGAAATAAAACAGCTTGTGTTACTTCCCAGTATGAACTTTGACAACAGCAACACGTCGTTCTCTTGTGAAAAAAAAATAGAAAACTTAGCCTAGAATTTTATCTCATTAGTAAAGAAAGCTTTGAACAACGTTTAGAACATCACTGTGGCTTTTTAAAAAACTAACAAGTGGCTTGTTTGTTATTTCAGGCTGGATTTGTGGCAGGGAGCAATGGGCAGCCTCTCCCAGCTCAGTACCTCAATGCGCTGAATAGCGTGCTGATTCCTGTCATCCACAGCAGGGGGCGCAAGAGGGACGGCAAGCCCATAGTGATGGAGCTCATTTTTTACATCCTTGAGAACATCACTTAGAGAACTCAAGACTTTCCACTAATTCATCTTCTTAACCCTGACCACTGCTTCATCTCCAGCACTTCTCACCAGTTTCAGGGCAATAAAAGCATTCCAAAGGCAAAGCGGCTCATATCCGAGGTCTTCATCCATCTCATCCAAGAGATCTGACTCTTTGTGGTTTTCTGATCTCACTTGGCCCAGCCACAATCAATCAGGCTACGCATGAAACCTACGATGGACCATTAGATAAGGGTGCAGCTCTCGCACTGTAGTAGCAATTTCATGGCTTGAAATCATCAATGTCACAATGTCACATACATATTTTACAGTCAATACCTTTAAAGTGATAGCTCACAACCTTAAAGCTAAGAGAATGACTTGAAGTTATGTATCAAATCCAAATAGCAGCTTCATGCGCACTGAATGAATGCCTGGAGAATGTTTTAATATTTGATGAATTTTAACTGACTGCTCATGAAATGTAATGTTAGCTTGGAATTAAACTTGCAACAGTGACCGAGTTCTTGCCTATTGCCCAAGGACCCCGAGCGGTGAAATATTGCCATTTTTCATCAAAAGGAAGGTTATGCTTTTTACCGTTTACTCATTCCTGGAGATTTGACTTTTGCTCCTGTAAGACCTAGAAACATGTACTTGTGACCTCCTTAGTTTGCTGTTGGAAAATTACAGTTTTTAATATAACCATCAAAAAGCATTATATTGTAGCTATAAATGATTTAAAATTTTTTTTAAAAAAAACCCCCACACACCAACAACAAAAAGTTCTGAATTTTTATCCAATTTATAACAATTTTAAGTTCATTTATGGCTGCCTATGCAGAATAAGGGGAAAGAAAATCTGCAGTGTAATTTAATGATTTTAATATCATTTTATATTCTGGATAGGCAGATCATTTATCTTGTTTGACTAACACAGGCAAAGTAAACCTTTTTACAATCACCCCATTCCTGACCCTGATGAACTGATTTGAGCGGGAATTGTTCTGGTGGTTCCGGTCTGCGGGATGCCATTTCTGCCTTGTGCCATGAAGAATAGAGCCCTTGTTGACCTCCTACTTGCTGCACATATTTGGGATGGCAGAGACAAGAAGCACATGCAGACAATGCAAATACTTTTGCTGCAACAGTAAAATGTTGGAGCCCAAAGATCTGCTAAGTGAAATCAAGTTACATATACAATAAACTGTTATCAGGGTTTGGAAAAAAAAAGTCAACGCTGATCATTTAAAATGGAATTTATTTGCATATTAATTAAATACAAAGTAACAAATTTTAGAAAGTCTAAAGTATAGCAATACAATTAGTTTCTTTTTTTTTTTGTAAAACTATTTACAAAAAGCATCTTCAAGTTTGATAGAAACTGTACAGTCATCTGTCCACAGTGTGTCAGGAGGACATGGGGGTCAGATAAGAAGTGAAGACGAGTGTGGTGAAAGGCCACCAGAGTGATACTGAACTAGGAGGTTGTTTGCAACATCAGTGAAGACAACATGGGTCAAAACATCTTCTCTTCATACATTGTGTTCCATAGATGGTTCCCCAATGCAAAGAAACTAACAAACCAAACAACCAAATTTGGGACCCCACCTGTGGAAGTCACTGACCACATCATCCTCCCACATTTTACATAGAAAACTAAAAACAGAAAAAGAAAGGAACAAATTATTTGGAATCTGTAGTCGTTTTATCAAGTTTACAGGGCCATACATCTTGGGCTTTTCCTTCCAGACTTCCTAGGCCTTCTTCATCTTACCCATGTAAGAGCTGCCATTGTCGTGGTGGACCGAGCCATTGGCGTTGCCATTTTTCGTCCCATTGGGAACCCCGTGTGATACACCATTGGCAGTACCGTTTTTCACACTGTTGCCATTCTCACAGTATTTGTCATTTGTGTGCACAGCTGTGCCGTTCTGACACTGTTTCGGCAGTCGCTTGCCCTTAATGTAAGCCTGGAACCAGAAGTTGGAGAACAGAACAAAGAAGAAGGTACCATAGATCCAGATGAGGTGGAGGATCACAGGGAACTGGTAATCACAGCTGCTCATGAAGTAATACTGGGTAGCATGGAGAGATACCAGCACAAACTGGATCTATTGAGAAGAAAAATGAGAAATTAGCCAAATACACAACAAAAATGTTCTCTACTGGTAACACCACTGAGTCAGGATGGGCTACACGTACCAACTGAATTGCAGTCATGTATTTCTTCCACCACAAAAATTTCTGGAAGCGAGGTCCAGCAGCAGAAAGGCCATAGTAGAAATACATAACAACGTGGACGGAAGAGTTTACCATGGCATGGAAAGATCCCATTCCACCTGAAGTGATAACCACAAACATCACACCGAATTCCCTCGGTTAATCATTTTCATATCGATGGTCAGCTCATCTGCACAAAGCTTCTTGAAAGGCTTTAAAAAGACCATCTTATCTTCAAGATTGGCACGCAGGATGAGCTAACTACAGAACACTTCCGCAATGCTCCCCCTCCCTTCTCCATTAACCATTGACAACTTAAGGTTATATACTTACCTGGAGCATACGCAACTCCCCACCACCAGGTCCAGGGCATGAGGGAATGGTGGAAGATGTGTAGGAAGGTAATCTGGCCGTGCTTTTTCCTCAACACAAAGAAGATCTAACAGAGGGGATTCTGGTCAGAACGTTTACTAAAACTGAACATTGAGGCACATTTTATAAACCATGGCATCAGAATATGTGAACTTACTGTGTCCATCAGCTCAATAATCTTGGAGAACCAGAACAGCCACGCCACCTGGACCATCTAACAATGAGAGACTTTAGTTTGTGACTCAGTGGAAGGAAAGTCAGTTTTTATATTCATCGTCTTTAATAATAGTAATTGTTATAGAGTTAGGGCGACTTACTCGTAGTGCTTGAGGACTGTTAGAGGTATCAACTGCATCACATCTCCAAGTATACGTTGTGGCCCAGCCAGACATCAAAAACTGCAAATAAAAACAAGTTTATCAGGACTTTATCTTTGCAGATGGAGGTTCAACCAAATGAATGTATCCAACAATATCCATTGAGGAAAACAGTCTGGAATAAATGATGAAATGCTAACAATGTGCATTAACTGTTATGTGCATAGATAACAGATTCTTACTTCATATACGATGAATATTGACAAGGCCACAAGCAAGAAGTTGTAAACTATCATAGGCTCCTTGAGCTGGAAAGGTTTGCGATTGGCCATTAAGCGAGGTCCGAGGTACAGTACAAAGAACAGGTAGCCCAGCAGTATTGTCGTCATGGTTATGGGACTCTGCATCAGAGGATAATCTGTGATCCGTGGATCTAGAGCGGGAAAGGGGAAATATATTTAGACAAACAAACACAAGTCTGTCTTTTCTCAGTGTTTAAAAAAACTAAACCTACCAAGTCCCGACAGAAGGAAATCGTAGATATCCTTGGCATGTGAGCCCATCTCCTGAATCTCCTGAAGCATATTGGCTCTTGTATTGTTATGACCCAATTATCTGCAAACAAATACACAAAAAGCTCATTGTTAGTTTGAGCTGAAAGGGAAACACTGCAACAATCCTTCCAGAGCTCCATGAGAATATCTCAAGGGCTGAAATTTGACTCAAAGCAGAACAGCATTTGTTTTAAACGGTGTCAAAGACAAAGGTTTAAGGTCAAACCTGTCATGCTGGGATCATTTTTCCTGTTCAAACAGAACCCTGAACAGATAATTTTTTAAACAGTTACATTTTGGGAACATTCTGGGAACAAATTTCCCAGAGGAACCCACCCGAGGGATTAATAAAGTTTTATCTAATCTAATCTAATTTCTAGAGAAATTAAAACATGCAAAATAATTTTCTAAAGAAAAAAAAAATACAACCCCCCCTCCCCCTCCCTCCCTCTATGTCTTGCCGGTGTCCTCAGGGAGGCGCATTCTTACATTTCCTGATTCAGCAGGTCTGAAAAGCAGTTCCTGGAGCAGAGTAGCTCATCCCTCACCAAACAAACACTCCCAACAGAAATTCCCAGGATGCTTTGCCCTGGTTCGAACCACTCATCAGACATGGCCTGATATCTGAGAGGAGGTGCTACAAGGAACTGAGGGCATCCCTCATCCCACACTGAGGCTGGCTGTTTGTGTACAAGAGTCAGGCCACGACTTAAGGCACAATACTGCCTCCACCAATAAACCCAGCACTTTAAGTTCACTGAACCCATTAAACCGACGACTGCTCCTTCTTGTGACATGGCAGTTTTATAGAGACCACTAAAAGCAGTCAGCACGCAAGAAAACTTCTGCTTTCGAAACTGGACATTTTCTGTTGTTTAAAGCAGATTTCAAATGTAAACTACAAAACATATTTATACGCAGGGTGCGGTCAGCGCAAGCCACACTGGACCCGGAGGATCCATTGTTTGATACAAGTCTACAATGCTCTTTCACTGCCAAAAAGTACAGCCCTCCTAAAGTCAATATAGTTAAAAGCTAATAATTTAAGCCTGAGGAATGAAGGTCAGGTGACCCGAGCTCACACGGGTGCCTAGAGGGCCAAGGAAAAAGAAAAGTACATGTGGATTCAGGTTATGCATTTTGTGAACAATGAGCTAGATCGATTTGACAGGCAGGAAAAATCCATTTTTTAAAGAAAAGTTAGAATTTGTGCAAAAGTCACTTTCTCTTCTGTTTCCCCCCCAAATGGGATTTCAGTCAGAAACCAAGTCGCAGTGAAAACAGAAGAGAAAGTGACTGTTGCGCAATCCAAAAGTCAAAAGCATTTCAAACAGTTTGTCATAAACTTTACTTTTAATATTGCTTGAAACATTAAAGTTAAAAATAATTGAAGCATCACAGGATTAGCGTCTTGTGTCAAACTCGTCCTCCTTCCTCGTCGCTTTGCACACACTGCATTCAAGAAATTGTTAACCTAAGCACTGAGCCAACACCACTGTTTTTATAGTCGTCCTTCTTGTTACGGTTCCAAATTTACTGCAGCATTCCAGACCACTTCTTGTGACACATCGCTTCCTTCCGACGACATTGTGAAACCAAAGAGCTGTTAATTTGTGACATGAAAATTCCTGCGTCGAGTGTGACAATCAGTGTTTCAGACGCCTCTTACACAAAGCTTTTTTTTTTTTTTGAATTGACGGATGAGGCCTTTGGTCAGGCACCTTACATTTCAACAAGAGTATCATCATGTCTGTTGTGCAGAGTCTTGTTCTGAGGGGAAATTGATCACATTATGGTTTAGCAAGTGATGCTTTTCATAAAAATATAGTAATAATACACTAATACAGCATCACCACTGTTAAAAAGTGCAGGTTTAAGGAAATCCCACCACAACAAGATGAAAGTAATCCAAAAAAAATCCCATTTTCAAATATGAACAGGCAACATGTGACTGCCTAGAAAGGGTACTTAGAATAAATCTGACTGTGCAAGTCAGAAGGAGAGTCTTGTGATTCATGACAAAACAACCAAGAATGAATATTTTTGTGTTCTCAGAACAGGATGAAAGTAGAAGGTCAAAGAAAAATGCCCTCCCTGCCCATTTCTCCATGAGAGAAACTAGAATTATTACCACCAATAATGTTCGTCTAACAGCAGTCAGTTTGCCTCACCTGGATAATAAAGTATAATTTATTGCACCCAGTTATCAATTAACCGACACATGACGCCACCCAACTGTCCACCAGTTAAACATCAGCATCACCGCAGGATTTGGACTAACAGCACACTGAAGCCCGACCAGTCGCCACTTTTCATCTCTTATCAGTAATTCCACAGGTCAACACCAACTTCCTCTTATAGTTGAGAGGGGTCCAGAAAAAAGTTAGATTCCAGTGATGTAATGCAAGCTGGCATGAGGCCATTTCTACTTAAAAGTCATTAAAAGCTTTTTAGAATTCACAATTTACACTTTGAGTGAAGTCCCACTACAACCACCTATCCATTACTAAATGACCTTGACTTCAATGGTGTGGCTGGTTCGCAGCAGAGAACAGTGAAAAAGGAGGGGAAACATTTTCTTAAGAGAGCCATGTCAATGAATCATAGGGATGGAAAAAGGGAGCTCACGAGTTAAGAGTTAATGATGAACAAACTGGAGCAGCAGAGATGATGTGAAAAAAAAAAAAAATCCAGGAGATGGGGGAGGGGGGAGCAAACCAGGAACCCATTTGTTAAACATACAGTCAATTATCTTATAACAACAGTGACAAAAAGCAGCCTGAACAAAAGGAACCAAAAGCTTTGAGTAAAGAAGCTTAAAACAACCTTGAACTGCTCGAAGTGTTGCCAGACTCCACACACGAGTTAGTTCACCTTTGACGTAACGTTGAGCAACTTACCCTTGTTGAGACAAAAAAAAATTTCCACTTAAAAAGCCGAAGTGGACTCCTCCTGCACAGCACGATAAAGCCTGAGCGTAAAGTAAAGGGCAGACGGCAGCAGCAGAGAAGTGACAGAAAGAGATGGGATTGAGAAAGTAAACTGACAAAGTGTGACTGGTACAGCAGTCTTCCAAAACTCCACCCTCCCTGACTCATACAGTGGATGAATAACTAGTTCACACAAGGAGAGGGAGGGAAAGAGGCTGAGCCTGAAAGAGAGCGAGCGAGGGAAGAGAGTGCCTGCTCTGTGTGACCCAGAGAGAGAGAGAGAGAACAACTGAGGTGAGAGATTTAAATCCCACACTACCTTGATGCATGTATTCTGTGACCGCCCCCAGGTTTCACCAAGCTGCCGTCAAAACCCACCCACCCACCCGCCTACCCCCTCCTTACTTTGCTCTCCTCGTCACACCCTTCACTCACTTGAAACACCAGAAACCTACTCTGGAGTCACCCTGTACGGCTCCTCTCAGGGGTGGGCTGATAATATTATTCACAGGGAGCGGGCGAGAAATCAGTAGAGACTCTGTTATCATGAAGGGAGCCATTGTTACGCCTTTACTGGTCCTCGGCCTGGCCAACACCCATAAAGCAAAAACTAGCCTCCATTTCTTCTCCTGCACTGCTGGACAATCCACGGCATGAGTAAAATGCCTCAATAAGGCATACTAGCCTCCTATAGTTTGTGTTTGTCCTGTATTGTCCAACTATACAGGAAAATACAGCTTCATTAGCTACACATGCAAGTCCAGTTTAAAAAGGAAAAATCCAAGAAGCCTCTCCTGGAAAAAGAGAAAAGATATTGGATAAATTTAAACTACGAGGCAAGATAAGCGCTATAAAGATGTTTGCTCAGGGTTGGATAGCAAAGCAAAAGGCAGATGAAATTAATTGCCGCAATGGGAAGAAGTGACTCATACGGGAATGCTTAAAATTCTTTAGTGTTGTGAAAGGAGGTTTTGCTTTCCAGTAGGAAACTTCTTATCCTGATCCCACTGCCACACCCAGCCACGCTTAAGGAGAAACAAAAAATGTGCAGTTCGAGTTACACCACCTGCTTTTGCACATAACACCTTTGGCATCCAAGGAGTTTTTGGCCTTTCCCAAAGACCAAGACTGTTTTCGTTTTTATAAAGACAAGAAAAGGTTTAGTTTTTGTATTTTTAATTTAATTTTATTTTATTGTCTGGTCAAGAATAAATGAATAAATAAGTAAAAGAAAAACACATCTAACATCTATAAGATAAGACACGCTCATTTGTCCCTTAAAGGCACGTCTAGAGCTTCCAGGAAAAACCTGGTTATGGATCATTTCAGCCTTTTTGCAACACAGATTTTGTAAACACTAAAGTTCAATAGGACAGAAACACTGGGATCTAATAAACATATTAGTTTAAGTAACAAAAAGTGGGTTTGAGTTTTTTCTTTAAGGTGTTCTAATCAAAACTACAAACAATCATGATTTTTTAAAAAATGAAAGAAAAAAAAGTTGTTTCTAAAATTCCACACATTTATTATCAGTCTACTAGACAGCTTTGCATCACTAGCACACGCACACACACACTAAACTTTGTTTAAAGAGGCCGATAAGTCAAGGACACAGAAAAAAAGAGGCCATAAAATGCCTGTAGCACTGATAAAAATAGTGGCTTTGACAGATAATAGTTGAACTTGGCCATTCAGCTCATGTCAGCTGCAAGCATGACACAAACGAGCTTATAGTGGAGAAGGCCCCGTTTAGTGAGACGGTATCCGACCGAGCCAGCTTTGCCTGTTGTTCTGGCTCTGGGGGCAACGTGGGGGAGTGGAGGTAGCACTCCAGTGCGTTTCAGCCCTTCCTCCAAATACCAAAACACACCTGACAACAAAAACGAGATCAGCTGCAGTTTGAGGTGCTGACAAAGCCAAATATGATTGTCATGCTCCTCAGTGAAACCAGGAACCTTTTTTGTTCCCATTAAACAAAATATGACAGAAGCGGAAAACGGTGGTTTACAAGATCAGCCACTTTACTGCCGCACTGATAAACTTGACACTGAGAACAGTTTTGATGTTTATCAGACCATCATCTGCACTGACAGATAAATATTCAGTGTATTCTGGTTTGATCTAAGGGAAAGTAAAAGCAACATCTTGATAAAACCTGTATTTTTATTTTTTTAAATCAAAACTTGCTTGACAGACGTCAGATGCTTCAGATGTCAAACTGCGTGAAAACCTTCCAAGTACAAGCATGTACATGCTTTCAGACACATAAGCTGGTAATATTCCACACATCACACGTTGTGTTAACCTCAGTGTCAGACACACACTGAAAGCCCATTTTACACTTGAAAGGTGTTGACACTGATGCAAAGTTTATATTTACCAGTAGCTCAGAATTAAACTGGATAATCTCAGCAGATTGAGATGTAAAGAGCACAGTGAGCAAACTGTGTGCTGCCAGAAGTCTCCCAGAATTCCCACTAGAATGTCACAAAGTGGTGACAAATCAGGCTCTCCCACCAGGGTAAAAATAACAGCTCAAATTACATAAAGCAAAAACTTCCATTACTCTATAGTGTGCATGAACTTCACCTCTGAAGGCATGCTGCTGGCAATTTTTAGACAATTGTTTCACACAAACTGCATTCCTGAGAGTCTCGCCCCAGGTAGAAAGTCCTAAAGGCAACATCAAATACCTGACAGCACGCTGTCTGGCTACATAAATCAGCTAAATGAACGTGAACCTCGTGGCAAAACGCCGGCACACATTCCAGTCAAGCCAGCTGGATGACAGACGCCAGAGAAAACAAGAAAGGTATTAGTAGTATGTTCATGTCCTCAGGGGCAGAACTGTCACCTGGGACCACGACTGCATTTTATACAACTTTGTCTGAAGTTGATGACTGTAATCATGGCTGTATAAGCTGGTTTCATTCAACCAAACCACAACTTGCTTTGCAGCGTCGTCACCCTGACACACTGAGAGCACAGGTACCTTTTGGACAGGTATGTGCTCTCACATACTTGCAAAAAACGAGACGACCGTTTAGGGGCAGCGAGGCTGAGAAAGTGTGCGAATGTGAAAGCATGTATCCGGATGAACACCCGAGTGCACGTGTCAAATTTAAAAACCTGTCGTAGTGTATATTACATTACAGCAATACTATTGAAAGAATGCTCAGCAATTATGTAAATATTTAGTTTTTTTCCATGCATGCTTAAGTTAAACATTTTGTTTTTATTTTCCTAAGAATTTTACTCTTATATAAGCCTAATTTAAAAAAATATATATATTATGAATATACTCCCCCACCAACAGACTCAATCTATAGAGCGAGGCATCTTTAAGGAACAAACCTCAGCATTTACTCTACAGGCTTTGATTGCTGGCAAAAATACACAGACTGCTGACATAATACAAGTTGCATAATCTGGTTTTATTCTGGATTAAATATCCTTTGTCTAAAGAACCTTTGTCAGGAACTTGTGTGATATTGGAACAGTGACTAGTCAAAATCCTCAGATTTGAATGCAGATTAGCATATTATCAAGCAGCCATAGCAGATTTTACATATGATAAGACTGAAAACATGCTTTAGTCTCACCAAGTGACGTGTTTTATAAAATGCAAAACAACCAAATGCTGAAGTTGTAGAAACCACTACTCCCCGGTACAGGAATGCTGCTGAACTTGTCTCAGGCATGTTCACGCCACCTCCCCTCAATTGTATTTGGTGTGTATGGTATTGGGGGGTGGGGGGCTGCATCTCCCCTACCTGCCGGCTGGACGTTCAACACTGCTCCCATTCTCTTAAAGCACCTCCCTCCTTCCTTCTGTCACAGTACAGGTCTCAGATTTCTGAAACTTTCCATAGCTGTTAGTCCGCTGCACCTCTACGAACCCACCTGACTTCATGGTGAGTGAGTGAGAGAGAAATGGGGGGGAGGGGTAACCAAAACAAAACAACCCCAAAAGAAAAACAAAAAAAAACCCCACTGCACTTCAGCACGTACAGGAAGCATGAAGTAATCATCATTTAATCTGTGGTCATGCATAAAGGAATTATTGGAAAAAAAAAAAAACTTTAATAACATAAACAAGCAAAGCTGGAGGATGCATGAGTTTTATTTTCTTAGGACTGAGACTTTAAACCAGACATTAGAGTCATTAGTAATATGAAATGTTGGGCGTGTTTCCTCATTCAGCTATTATAACACAGGAACTTGACTCTTCCGATTAGTAATAAGCCATCTAAACAATTTAAGAGACAAACGTGAGCACGCTGCAATGTCTGCAATAATCCCTCATTAAAAACAGGAGTGAATATGCATGTTTACAGCACCTAAAAACTCAGACTTGATATTGAAACATACAAGAACCAACAGACTTAAAAACTCTTTTGTCCCACACGCCATCAAACGGTTTAACTCCTCTCTGGAGGGGAAACAGGAGGACAAAGGAGGGGGAACAACTAAGCTGTAGTGCCTCTTCACTTCACTGTGCAATACTCTTTGTTTATAGTCAACGGTGCAATAGACTTCAATACTTGAAATGTGCAATTCCCTTGTATTCTTATTCCTATTTATTCTTTTTATCCCTTTCGTATATTTTATTTATACATGTCTCTGTATTTATATGTGTATATATATAATATTCTGCTTACGTTCTGTAACTTCTGTCCGTGCTGTGCTTTTGGAAACCGAATTTCCCAGAGAAACCCACCCGAGGGATTAATAAAGTTTTATCTTTAAGACTTTAACATGACTGGAATGAGACTTTGTGTCTGTCTGGATACCTGTGGAACTCCTATAACAAGAACGTAGGCTTGCACGCATCTAAATGCCTACCACCCACCCCCACCCACACACACACAAAAAGGGTTCAAGCATTACAAATCAGTCTGTCAGTTTTTAATTTACAGTATTTTTATCATTTGACCTTTGGCACACATTTCCATAAAACGATACAAGCGAGTGGAAAATTGACTTCCATTTAGCCACCCTAACTAAACATGCTGGTCAAAACACAGAACCAGTCACAGCATACTGGAGGACATAACACCAGTACTTTACTTCCTCTTCTTGGAATTGAGGAATTTAAATGATAACATAGGAATTCAAATATTAGATGCTTATAGAGACTGAAGTGCACATCAAACGTTGAGCTTTAATTACTTCTAGTCCAACTGTTTAGATCTGTTCACTTAAAAGGCCCCAAACTGGAACCCATACTGCCGCACCCCAAACAAAAGAGATAACAGTTAATTGACATTGTCACACTTCTTCCCCTCGACAAAGTTCCCTATC